CACCAGGCTGCCGGGCCACCGGCCACATCCCATGGCAGTAAAAGTCTCCAGGCCACTCGCCCACCCTCAGCCGCCACATCCCCAAGTTACCAAGCCACCAGGCTGTCGGGCCGCCGGGTTGCCAAGCCGCCGGACCGGACCGCCGTCGGGACGCTTGGGCCGCTAGGTCGTTGAGCCACCGGCAGGCTGCCTCAAGGTTGCTAACTGCCAGGTTGCTGGGTCGGCGAGTCGCCCCAGAGCTGTTGGGCTGCCATGCTGCCACAAGGCAAGCCACTGGGCTGGGCCGCTGGGCTGCTGGAAGGCCGGGAAGGTCGCTGGGTTGCCGGACAAATCGCCGGGCCGCTGCTAGGCCGCCAGGCCGCCAAAAAACGCCCGCTCGTCCACATCTCGCCGCGGGGTCCACCAGGGTCCACCAGGCCGTTGAATCCCCATCCACCTGCCATCCGCTCACAGGAGGGATCCGGAAGATCTAACTCACCGAGTCCACATCTCGGCCGGTTCCACCCCCTTGCGAGGCCCCCATTTCCCGCTGCTGTCTCACGGAGCCGCCCGGAGTCGATCCGCCATCTTCGGGCATGCGCAGTGTGCAATCGCTTAAATGAATGATTGTAAAATGAGGATTACTTTTATGTTTCTGTTGCAGTTTATTGACATGAGAATTATATCTTTTTATTCCACTTTCAAATTCTTTAAGAAACTAGCATTATTTGGAAATATATAAATAATGTCAAGGAACAGCCTAGATAAAGGAGTTTAATACACTAGTACAAAATATGCTCTTTTCTTCAGGAAAAGTAATATATTGAGATAGTAAAAGTGCTGTAAAAGTTACAGTGCAGAAGAAAATTGTTTTATGTTTGTATGAAGCTTCACTGTGGATTCAGTTAGAATTTTGGGATATATCATTTAAATATATAAACAAATATGATGATGAGTATCATGATTAAGGATAGGTTAATCTGCCAAACACAGATTCATTCTGTTTCTCAAAATATATTCCATTTCTGCATCTCTTTGTAGAACTGTTTGTATGCATTTTTCTTAATACATGGCTTTTGCAAGCAATTTTCCTTAAACTTGTTTATCTGTTCTTTTCACTCCCCCCCCCCTTACCGAAAGAAGAACAGAGGCTGCATTCTGGTTTGCAAATCAATTCAGAAAAAAATGAATTACAAAACTTCATTAAAATATGGATCAAACAAAATTCTTGCCTAACTTTGTGCCATATGGGAAATGGTCCAAAACAAGAAAAACAATAATTCCATAATGATTCTGTGGAAAATTGAGATATAATTACCCTTAACAAATAAAACGGAATCACTGATTTACATGCTTGAAACAACTAAGTATGCTTATGAAATGATAAAATCAGAAGATATAGCTGTAAAGTTGTGTTTTGATTTGCTAGAAAACAATTTTGATAATAGTAATGTAATGATCTTATATAACTAATTAAATTATCATGGGGTTGAGGCAGATTAGCATGAAATTATTATTGTTTGAGAATTACCAGAATTGTCAGTACGTTGCTTATCTTTCCTAGTGATAGTTGTGAATAATAAACATTTTGGCTTGCAAAGTAGTCTCTCAGTTGGAAATCTGAGGTTTCATGGAAAAGTATCAGCATCTTGGTGGAAAGCTGAACTTTGGTGGAACTTAGATTGACAAAATGTGTCAAAAGAATATGCATGTGACACAGAGATCCGTTTCAGTCAGAATTCAGGAAAGGGTTCAGACAGAGATAACCTTGCTTTGACCTGATGATGAAATGTGGAGCTGGGATAGAAGTGGTATATCCATCTTGGTGCTTCTTGGTTTCTCAGCAGCTTTTGGTACCATCAACTACAGTATCCTTCTCTGGACTACCTGCAGGAACTGGAAATGGGGAGCATCATTTTGTGGTGGTTTTCATCCTTTCTGGCCAAATCCAATCAGTGTTAACTGGGTACAGGGGAAGTTGTCCCTTCTTTTTTCAGGTGCCACAGAGCTCAACTCTCTCTCTCCCTGCTTATTTTACTTCTATATGAAGCTGCTGGGTGAGCTCATCCTTCAGTTTAGGATTCTGCATTATGAATATACCGATCATATCCAAATATTGACCATGAGCTAACCAAGTGAAGTGAAGTGTGGTCCTGTCTCAGTAGACTGTATGAGACCAGGTGGGAAGGAACTAACTCCAACTCAATCCTACCAAGATTGAGTGGCTGTGGCTCTTGAGGTTCCTTGGAACTGAGGATTTTCTATCTGTACTCTTTGAGGGACCAACACATCTGAACTCAAGAGTGATACCTAATCTGGGAGTTGTCCTGAATTTGCAGCTTCTGCTCAAAGAATAATAGGTGCCACTGTGACCAAGGGATTTTTGTAAAGTTTCATCTGTTGCACCAGTTGTACCCCTTCCTGAACCAGAAGTCCTTTTAGATAGTCACTCATGACTTCGTCATCATAAAGCTTGATTACTGTAATATACTCTACACAGGACTATCCCTGAAAATCACTCAAAAGCTTCAACTGGTCCAGAATATGCTGTCATGGGCAGTGATGGACATACCAAAATGATACCTCTGCTCCATGAGCTGCACTGTTCCCACTAAGCTTCTAGGTATGATTCAAGATGCTGATAATTACCTATGAAGTCCTACATGGCATAGCTCAGGTTATCTTAAGAATTGCACATCTCCCATAGCTTCTGCCCAGCCAGTATGTATTGACAAATAGGGGCACTCTGAATCCCTTTGATTAAATAGAACCATCCAGGGGAACCCTCAAAACATGCTTTCTCTATTGTGTTCCTGCCCTTAAATCCATGTGGCTCCCAACAAGGGCTTTCCACCCTTGTTGACTTGGTTATTCTCCCAGACCTTAGGCCAAAGAATGGGACCCCCTGTTGTTTGTGTTTTTTCTTTTTGTTATGTTGCATAGAGTGGATATATCCCATCTTGTTTTGTAGAAAGTTTTTTTTTATTAAGCTTTATATTGTGAGCTGCCCAGTTGGAGTCAAGCAATGCTTATATTGAATCCAATAAATAAGTCAAATAAACAGACACAATGAAATAGATGTGGTGCCGGGCTGAAGTAGAAGCCCAGGGCCTTCAGAAGTCTCTGAAGCATTGTGAGAAGACAGTGTGTTGTTTGGAGAAGCATGATTGTCCTTAGGTAGAGGGTCTGGTGCAGCCAGCACTGTCTTGCATAGGATCAGGCTGGGTATGCCTGGTTAGCAACAGGAAGAAGATGAAGATGGTGAAGGTCTGGTGGGGACAGCAGGACCTATGGATGACGGGGCAGCTAGGGCTTTGCAATGTGGCATTGGGGTGATTGGCCACATTGTGGGGCTTGAGGTGACAATCCTCATGGTGCTGGTGGCATCAGCAGTGTTTGGGTTGAAGTAGAGGCTCAGGGATGGGTGGCAGCCAACCCCAGCATCACCACTGTCACCTGCCCCCCAAGGAGTACCATTGTGCAGAGTCGCCAAAAAGGGCAGAGATGGGAAAGATATGCAAGTGGCAGGAGTTCAAGTACTCCTGTATTTGTGTCGCCAGGCTGCCAAGTGGTCAAATTTTTATTATGTGACATGGCAGCATTATTATGGCCATACCTTCAGGGCCCAGGCATAAGTATCAGTTGTATAACACTGCTGTATGTTTGAAGGGTTCTGAACAAATTGTCATTCATTGAGGACTACCACTCTATCATACTATTATATGGAATAAATGTGAAATGAAAAGTGCCACTCATTTTGTCTTTATTTGGAAGGGTAAGTTAACCTCTTTCATGTAACAATATTATGATTGTGTGCTGTGTATGCATGCCTATGTCAGAATTTTTATTTTTGTACTTTCAGAATCATTTAAGCCTAAATATATTAAAAATAGTAATGCATTATTTTCTTTTCCTTGTCTACAGTATGCTGTCTGGCTAATCCTCTGGGTTACATGGAACATATTTGTTATCTGCTTCTACTTGGAAGCTGGAGACCTATCAAAGGTAATTCACTGCCTGATAGACTAAATATCTGATGTTTACCTCTCCAAGACGTTTACTCTTACATATTCAAAATGTGGTCATTTCTTTAGTAATCTTGGAAATGATGAATATCATTGTTGCCTCAGCAGTTCATGTCTTAAATCACTGACAAAATATTATTAGTATAAAATATACACCTAGGAGGACAACTCTAACGAGGATTGTGAATGGACTAAGATTTCCATAGACTAATTTATATAATGTTAATTTCATATTTGGGAGTACTATAACTGATCAGATGCTTTTAAATATGATGCATATTATTGCTTTTTCCTTGTGCATTGAGTTGTGGATTCGGTATAGAAGTATGCATATTCAAAATAGTTTTGCTAATTAGTGAAAAAAGGACAAGCTAACTAGCATTGGCAACTGTTTCCTTTTTAGCAATATATGGGATTGAAGCATTTTTTTATACTTTTTTATACTAAGTGATGTCAACAACTTTACTTCCACACACATACTGAACACACATATGGGCAAGAGTAAAAAAAAATCTTTGTATGTATTATTCTTTTTTATGTCATCTTTATTCTGAACAATGTGGTGTTCATAGTTTAACAGAATAGAATAATAGAGGTGGAAGGGAGTTGGCTTCTGAAGTAGAACACTTCCTACCAAGGGCATAGAACATAGAATAATAGGGTTGGAAGGGACCTTGAAGGTTTTCTAGTCCAACCCTCTGTTCAAGCAAGAGATACTATACCATTTCAAACAAATGATTGTCCAGTCTCTTCTTAAAAACCTCTAGTTCTTCTGAAAGCAAGCTGTTCCACTGATTAATTGTTCTCACTGTTAGGTGCTTCTCTCCTTGATTAGTTTCCATCCATTTCTTCTTGTCCTGCCCTCAGGTCTTTGGAGAATAGGTTGACCCCCTCTTTATGGCAACCCTTAGATATTGGAACACTGCTATCATGTCACCCTTAGTCCTTCTTTTCATTATACTAGATATACCCAATTCCTATTACTATTCTTTGCATGTTTTAACTTCTAGTCTCCTAATCATAGTGCTCCCTTTTCTTTTCCCCACAACATAGTGAGGCAGTTGTACTGAGAAAATGGCTGTCCCAAAGTCATCCATCCAGCTGCCATGCCTATGGAGGACTAGAAGTCAATTGTGTACTCATCAGATGTATCAATAGTTATCTGAGAACTCTTGCCTTTCTATAAATGTGGAAGGGAGGGAAGGAGGGAGGGAACTCAAAGGGGAAGTCAACAGGAATTCAGAAGTTGCCTCCCACTCCCAGTGATTTTTATCCACCCATAATCATTCTGTTTCTCTGCTTAAGTAAGGAAATATCTTTGAAACAATGACCTGTCTTTGAAATAATGATCATAAGTTGCCTAGTTACCTATAAAGCTCTTTATTGGACAGTGTTATATTACATTAGGTTATATTACATTGCTTTGCTGTAGTTAAGTCTGCCAGTCTAACTCAAAAAGTCTTTCTAGGAGTCCCCTCTTGTGAAATTCATGGGACCTGATTGAATCCCATTATATCAACTCCAGGGCTTCAGAAGGTGCCTTGCGTTCTTGTTTTTAGGAAAATCAAAAATCTGTCCTTTTTCTACAGTTTTTTAGCTATCGCTGATTGGGCTATTGGGTTCTTCCATTTAAATAATTTTGTTGAGTCTTTATTATTGTTTTGTTGTTTGTGTATCTCTCATTTGTTTTATTCTGATATGGGCCACCCGGAGTCCTGAGATTGTTCTGATTCACAAATAATATAAAGAAGAAAAGCAACAGAAAAGCAAATATATAATGCATATTTTGAGGGAAAATATAATTATGAATCAGTGATAAAATGATTGATTATGTACCACTAAGGCATTGTCAGCTTAGTGACTACATAAATAGTTTGTCTTCATGAAGTAATGAAATACATGCTTTTATTTAATTTTGTGTGTGGTTTAATAATACCTATACAGTTCATTAAAAGGATAGAAAGACAAGGTTGGCCACACATGAAAACGATAGAGTTTGAAAATAGATTGATCCATCTGTTCTTACTCAAACCATGTGGAGAAGGTATACACTGTTATGCAAAACAGAGGAGATGGATTCAAAGTGGCTGAAAAAATGTCCAGCATATTTTGGATTAAGTCCTTTGTCAAGGAGATTACAAATCAAGAAATGTTTATTAGAAAGTGAAAGTGGACTCTTGGAAGAAATATAGCAATGATTGCAAACAATGAAAGTTCAGTATTTCAAAACACAGTAGAACATTTTAAAAACTTACTAAATTGACCTGAGTGTTTTCTTTCCAAGATGACAAAGAATCACTATTATTTTTAATCATAGCAAATGAAATAAACCAGCAATTGCTTCATTCTGATCCACCTCCACCTTTAAGGGCATGTATTATATCATTGTATATAAGCTATTTTAAAGCTTTTATGTGAATTGGCTTTTAGAAATCAAATGATTTTTTCTCTGATATTACAAATTTTCTCTTTGTGGAGAAAGAGAGAGAGAGACAGACAGACAGACAGACAGAGAGAGAGAGAGAGAGCCGTGATGGTATGGGAAAAAGAACTGATTTGTGTGATGAATTAATCCATACAAACAATGCGGATCTCTGAGACTGCCAGCATGGGAAGCCACAGCTTTCATGTGGTGACCACATATTGGGAAATGATTCTAAAGCAGATATATATTGTCTAGAATTTTGCCTGTGTAGCAGTATGAAAGAAACACTAGATACAGCATGAATTGGTTGTGGTTCCTGCAGGGAATCAAGAGGTACTTAAATAGCCATATCTTTTGCTTTCTGGCTTGAAAAAAAAGAATTGCTAGCAACTGCACCTTTTCTGAAAAATACTTTCACAAATAAAAAGTCTAAAAGTTTGATATGAAAGCAGACTCTGTTAGATTTTGTAAGATTTAATTCAATTAGCATGAAATACTGTGTTCTAGTCCCATGTTTAAGTGAATTTGAGGAGCTTCTATTTCCCCATCATTATTGATTCTGTTGTGATACCCTCAAACTGAGATTTGTAATGAACTGGGTGGAAATTCCCTACTGTGAGGTGTTCACTTCAATAGTCTCCTGTATCACACTTATCTGGGATAGTTTTGAAGCTGTTGTGATATGTCCACATCACATGCTGCTCATATGTTCCAAATGTAGTTACTAATACATCCCAAGTCATAGAAAGTCTGAGCATTGAGTCAGGCCGTGATAATAGTCACAGAAAAAGCACTTTGACCCAACTGCAGATCACCAACTTTTTGAGAATACATTGTTAGATGAAAGTTGTAAATCTGTTCCATCTTTTTAACATGATTGAGGTATACATTTAATCACTTTGCATTATCAGAAATATTTGGAATGTAGACAAATTGATGGATACTTTCAAAGAATGGCTGAGATCAACTAACCATGTTTCTCTGAAGTAACTGCGAATACTTGCCTAAGAACCTGAACAGATAACAGATAAGGGGGAAAAAGATTTTGATTTATGAACAATAAGACACAAATTCAATCTTTCTTAAAGTTCACACCCAACACACGTACTCTTATTCATGAGGTGCAGTGTACACACAACCCGATACTCCTGACCACTTGATATATTTGATTACAGTATTCTACATGAGCACCATTAAAGATCACACACTTAAAAACAACTCATTCGCTGTTTTCTTTAACAGAAAGTTCAAGTAGTCTTGAATGATTAAGTGAGATTTAAGGTTGTCCCACTGTTTTGGTTTATTTGGGTTTTTTTTTTCATTGTTTGAATGTTTTCCTGAAAATAAATATGACAGCATGGTTAACAGCACTCATGGGAAATTCTTCGTGCAAGGAAAAGAATACTGAACCTTGTTTGAAAAGGCTATTGCTGTGAATTAACTGTAAATAGCGAATAAAATGTGACCCTGGGGAAACTCTGGGCCATTCCTATGTTACACCAGGGACACAGTTCAGATTGTAAAGCATGAGAGATAATCTTCCACAAAATAATTTTAGGGATCCGTATTTTAAAAATATAGCTTAATAATTGCCCAGTTGGGAATACATTATTTTCTCTGTATGTAAAATATACCTTTCTTCCCTACGGAAAGCTATTTCACCTGAGAATGGAGTAGTTACGGGTCTTTATTTTCCCCTTGCTTATCTACAACTGATTTTCTGTCATTACTTGCCCGATCAAGATACCATTTTCCGAGCTATTGCTCTATTCCCTGTGAGAAAATTTACTAATGGCTCTTTCTCCTCCTCCCATGTCACAAAGGTCGTGACACTTTTACAGCAGCTCTTTACTGAAGTCAAAGAGCTTGATAACAATAATGGGGTATTCAGAATGAGGAGATTAGCAGGGCTTGCCAATGAACAGCTAGGCAGCGCTGGTCTCCGTGCATTAAAACCTGAGATAGATAAATAATGTGAAGTTTGGCAACAGATTCAGGACATTTTGGGCCATTGTGTCATTGTTAATGTCTTCCCCATGATACCATGGCTTTCACAGCTTATCAAAATTATTACGAGAGGTTGCCAGGTAACAAAAAGGACAAAAGTTACATTTTAGAAGGCTGCCCTATGTATGGAATATTTTCTGTTGGGAGTGCAAATTACATAGAGCTCATGCTTTTACGCAAATGCTTTTAAATAATGTTATGCTGGCAAGAAAAATTATATTATATGCTTTCTTAGATTGATTACTTTCTTTTTTAGAAATTAAGCTGCAATTTACTTCAGAATCACAGCCTCTTGGGTCACTGGAAGTGCATCTGGTGTCCCTGCTTCAAAGAACACTAAGTAGCACAGAATGTTTGCATGAAATTTTAATTTTTCAATTATCACCTTGAAATAAGGTGACTTAGAAATACTGGCAGAGGAAGATGATTGGTTGTGATATCCCAGAGTACAAGGTTAAATAAAATATGACCTTTTGCTTCAGTGTCACGTTAAACTTTGCCCTGGAATCAAGAGCAATACTAGATAAACTTCAAGAAGTGCTTTCAAG